ATTATTGGCAGACCTGGATGATCGGAGACGACCAGACTACGGATTCATCACCTCACACATCAACAAAATCTTACTTTTTGTTTATTTTCGTCAGTTCGCAGACCTCAAGAAAGGACCTATCGTTTTATGTTGAAGTTAATTCATATCAGACACTATTGTTTAAATTGATTCTTTAATCGGTTAATTAACGTGGGGAACGGGAAATGTTTCCGGATTAGCGCCGACTTCCGTGATAGTCGGCGGTGAGATCGGTGAGCGCGTGATTTACCGGATGAGTGCCGCATTTGATACGCTTTCTCCCAAATCCAAATTTACGTACTTGCACGAATTTGTTATTTCCGCGGTGAGTATGCTAGAAATTGTGAAAATGAAAGGAAGACTGAAAATGTAATTGAAGCGAGGCGGGCTTTTCTTTTTCTTAACGTGATATGCGATTTGGATTAAATTTTTTGAAAACGTTGTCGACATTTGCTTGTTTTAACGACTGGCTATTTGTAAAAGGTACCTGTCGTTTTAAGTCAGGAAATTAAATATTTTGTAATCAGTTTCTTGTAAACCGTTTCAGTGTTTTAGTCTCAGGCCACCCTCTGCGTATTGCCAAACCGAAGAAATGTGACGAATCGTGACTAATAAACCAACTCTCGCCCCCGGGAAAGCTCAAACTGAGTCGGACCTTTTTTTACTTGTTCTCCGACAGCTTCGTGTTCAATGAATTACACACGAATTACATTCGCAGGGTTTGTTAGACCTGTCTATTGATTTCAGGCGCACGTTTTCCCCACGAAACGTCGTCCGAGGGCAAACACGACCCAACCGGGAAGAACGGGGGAAAGTCGAAGGGCCCGCCTTGCTAAGAACGGTCGAACGACAACCGACCCGGGGTACAGACTATCACCGACGGTCGCCCATCCCCAACAACTTGTCTGAATCAACCCAAAAAGATCCACCAGATTCTTTAGCCAAGCATTGGAAATTCGCGGAGATGCAAACGAATATGGAAAGAAATAACAGTCAACAGCTTCTCCTTATGAATCATTTTGCCTTAGAGTTAAAAAAATGTTAATCTTCAAGTATACGGTTTATAGAGGAAACTATTAAAGTTGACAGTCTTCTTAAGCTAAGGGAGCCTGCTCTCGACTCATTTTTTTAGCAATTTTTCAACTTAAGTACCACCCATTAAATGAGCAATTACTTTATACAGCCGGCTGGTCGCTACCGTATTAAAACCGAATCTGTTATATCAATGGGGAGATTTGATATACGGCTGTCATTTTCGATACGAAATTTATAAATGTTAGATGTTGCACATTGATGTTCATAAAATGCATAAATAAATTCCTAGGATGCTTTTAAAGAGTACCTTATTAAGATTATGTAAACATTTCTTTCAATAATAAAGATGGAATACGGTGGGAGTTAATTCTTCCTGTAACGTCGATGGTTTACTTCAAATGCAGTCACCTTTCCATCTGCGGACAGGGTTCGGTAATTAAATTCATAATCACATATCAAACATCACGAAAACATTTAATGATACACTGCTTACTACGATGAATAATTATCTTACATTTCCCTTTCTCTATAAGAAAATGCTACAACATTGTGACCTCAGATATGGTTCAGCTGAGCATCCCATTATCCCTCACAAGTTGATAATAAGACGTTCTTAGGTTTTATAGTGATTATTACGGTTTTATTTACTTTACGTCTACCAACTGCAGACAGGAAATTGTAAGATCTCATATCTTCGACTACACTGGAACTATCACGCACGACTTAATCGGCAAGAATTGATAAAACGAAAACCGTCAGGACTTTATGATAAACTCTATAATATATCATTACGGGACATCATCGAACCCACCTTCGTAGACAAAATGTCACCACACAAATACATGGCAAACAGACTAAAACCAGTACCACTGGGAACAACAAATACACCAAATTGGAAAGTGCCTTATTAAGAGTCTGTAAACGTTTCTTTCAATAATAAAAATGGAAATACGGTGAGAATAAATGCTTCCTGTAACGTTTCTGGTATGTTAGGTAGATAGACGTCCTTGACCTAATACCTATGACATCTCCCATATCTCTAATTCACTCACTCACTCCTCACCTTATTTCTCCCTCTCCTCCGCCCTCTCTCATTTAACTATCTCCCTCTTTCTTTTATCTGCCTCTCTCTAAAAAGATACAGACACAAACCATTGTTGTTGTTATTCCTGTTAATCGCTCCAGCCCACTCACTGTAGTACGGTTATTCCGCTTTTCACCCACCGGTTTCTCAAATATAAACCTAATTCGATAAATATGTATTTATGATAGTGTCCATCCTAATTTTGTGGAACTCTATAATAAGTTGATGGGTAGGGTATAAATACGTACGGCATATGCAAGATTCAATTCTTGTTAGTGTGAGGAGTTTGATGATTTTAATCTTAGAAAAAAAAAGATTCGTGAAATTTATGACTAGAACATATATATATAGAGACTTCAGCACTAGAATACCGTCATCAACACCTATTCCAACATCGGGGAAAAGTGAAGAGACCGACGTCTGTGCTTATCTGATCTTCGTCGTTGACCCTCAAAGGAAAGAGCCACTTCCGCACTTTCGCTTCCATTCACGTTTGACCCGCTGGGATCGAGGTGAACGACAGCGGGTTGAACTCTGACAACGACAAAGGGCCGGTTAATGAGAACGATTTAATTACGCGGAGGTGTCCTGGAGACAATGATAGCCTTTGGAATGCTAGTACTGGGCTCCAGGCCCCTCCTGGGCCATTATGTAGCCCGCATTCTCTACCCCTCCAACATTTCTCGCCTTTGCTCCACTCCTCCGGATGAATCCCAATCTCAATCTATACGTCTCATATGTACCAGAGGTGTCAAATGTCCTGATATACCCAAAGAGCCCTACTGATCATGAAGTCCTGACCTTAATTTTTCAGACCTTAAGGCATTACGAAACGTCAGCGGAAAACAATTATAAAGGCTGACATTAATAGTTATTAATACGCCAGGTAATAATATTATTTCTTTCTAATAACCTCCATCTCATTATATCATTTTAAAAGGACGTAATTTAGACACGTTTATCTAAGCATATAACATCTTCCATAGGAAAGTTGTTCTTGAAAGTTTTATCGACTTTGTAACACCGATATAACATTACAAAATTTTGGATGAAAATATATCATGTGTTTTGTTAATCCAGACATAAAAAGATAAAAATCACTAACAAAGTTTTTTTTTTGCAGGTAAGTTCTCATGAATGAAAGGCCCTCTTTTTAAACAACTTCAGGTGATCGTTTTCTAATAGCCACCATAGTCAGTCTAAAAATACAGTGGTAATAACACAGCCATATGAAGTAAGAGAGTATCTTATAACACGTTCCGGATGAAAGTTGTAATTAAAGGTTTCCAAACTCTATTGAGCAAGGCAAACGGAGGCTATTAGTTCCAATGGTTTTTTTTATATCCCAAACACATTACTAGACCCAGTTTTGATTGTTCGCTTTGATGAGTAAAATGACTAAATAGTCTAACTTGAATTAAGAAGTTGCAAAGATTAAATTGGCCTTCACTTCTTTCCCGTAGCTTGTATTAATTTCAATATGTAAACAAAAATGTTTCATTGCTCCAGATTGCAAAAAGTTATTTAAACTTTTGTTTGTAAAAATATTTTAAACCTGTAGTTAAAACGTGTACAAACTTGAGTTCCTCTCCCCCCATCAAAAGACTTTTTGCAAGTTAAAATATTTATTAAATTGATCAGCAAAATGTTTCAGACTTCGGTTTGGACCAAAATAGTTTTAACTTATAGTTACAAATGCTAAACTTCAGGGAGAAGAAGTTTAAACTTTTAGTTTCTTTTTTTTCAGGGCTGGAAAGTTTTTAATGAAAAAAAAGTTTGTCAGTTTGATTAGGAGAATGTCTCATACTTAAAGCAAGGAAGAGGTTTGAAACAAAGCATCAGAAGAACGTTTCACTCTTCTGGCTGAAAAAAGGTTATATTGCAAAAAGTTTAAACGGCTGATTAGAAAAAAAGTTAGAAGGTTTAAACTTTTATTGACAAATGTTTCAGATTTCTATCTAGAAAAAATGGTTACAAACTATTGTATGCAAATTGGTTTAGACTTCTGGCTGGAAAAACTCTTTCAAAGTTGCAAAATTATATTGCAGACTTTTTGTTGCAAAAAAAGCAAATTATTTAATTCTTAATTTTGAACATACATAATCAATTTCTTGGTTAGCCAGGAAGGGATGAATGAACTCATTGTAACTTGGAAATTATTCAAAACTTGACGGTTTTCATAGCGTGTCCGTCGTGCCGCTCGAGACTACTTAATTAGCTGAATAGGTAATAAACTTAAATAAAGAAAATAGCGTGTTGCTGTTATGAATTATTGTGCAAATAAGCGTTGTTTAGTTCATTCAGGAAAACAGTGTAGTCTTTTTTTTATTACAATACCGTTTAATAAGTAATAGAATAATTAATCTAAGGACACACCTATTTACTCTAAAAGGAAAACTGGAATTAGTTAATAAGATTTACATCCTAAAAAAAAATCCTTTAGTTTTTTTTCTCTAGGGTTTCCGATATCTAGGTCATTTCAGCCCCCAACTAAGTCTATATTCTATTTACCCTTTCAAACACCACATTCATACAATAAATACATTCATACACATAAATACATCCATACAGTACACTCAATCCGTTTGGTCGGTGGAGTACTTGATATTCCTCCACCGACCTATACTTCGACTAATCTAGATTGGCGATGGAGTACTTTTATAAATATTCCGGCATCGACCCCGAACACACTCTCACGCTCTCAACGTTCGAGGGGCGATGATGACGATATATTTCACCCTCACCCCTCGCCATTCACGCTAATAAATACATGCACTCAGCTTATTATAACGATGTTGGTCCGCATTTATTTAATTTTAGGGTAAAATAATAATAATAACACCCTCATTTTTCTGGTAAACAAAATGTTTTATTTTCATGTTGAAGAAGGAACCCGCGGGGTGAAAAATCGCCCTGGGTCGTTATTTCCCTTTTCCGCACGGATTGACCGCGCCTTCCCTTTTCAGCCCCGTCTCTTCATAAGCAGTTTTGTTAAACAATAAGTGAGACTTATGGCCTATCAATTGCGTTCTAATTTCGGCCTCCTTTCCCTGAGATGTCGTTGCCCTCAGAAAACAATCCGATCCCAGCGAAGAAAATAGTATGTCGAAAATATCGGAGGGACAACAAATAGAACGTGCTTGAATCTAGGGCGATCTTTTAAGTTTTTTCGCTCTTGTTTGCAAAAGTAAGGTTTCAAACTTTAGTGTTAAAATTTTTGTACAATATTTTTCATATTATGTATGTATAGTCCATTTTATCCTATTAGGCCAAGGTCGTGGTATTGTTCCTGAAACGTATTTTTGAAGTAATTGTCCATTGCGCGTAATTGGTAATCCTTTCTCCCTCTTTTTATCTCTGACCTAGAGGGATTTAAATAAATACATTAGACAGTTCAAGGCGGGTTTTATAAAAAGTGAGAGGCTTAAACCCGTTTTCGGGCGAAATACTCCCTGAGGTCAAATTTGAATATGTTCTTTGGCTAGACAAAGTGTTGATCGAACAGCTAAATGGATTTTTACACTCATTAAATTAGAAATGTATGGTTTTTTTAAATACTATTTTTAAGATGTACTGTTTCTTGTTTTCTGTACTTACAACCTGTTAATCCTAAGTCTTTGCTGATTTATATTATTCCCCCATGGTTTTATTTTCTGTTGGGTTATGAGTTCCTAAACATTTCCTCTTGTAGTTAATTGTAGCTCCGCAGTCCCTTGGAGTTTTTTCTCCTTCGATCTTTCTTAGATGTCCATTGAGTCTTCACTTTCAAAGGATCTTAGAATTCTTCATGTTTCTGCTAATTCATTCTGTAACTGAACCCTTTTCAAATCTCAATAGGAGATTTGTAGATTACTTCAGTCCAGTGATCGTGTTATTTCCTATTCAGCAGAAGTAATCAGGGCAGAAGATTTTCAGTTTGTAGGTTCTAGGGAACAAGGGAATTATTTTTAGCCCTTTTGTATACAAAATTAAATGAGCTCTTGAAAGTATGATTGTTTTTATTCACACTAATCATCTTTAAACATTCCACATGCCAAAAACATCTGAAATGTTTTTTAAAAAAAGACCTGAAATGTTGAAAAGAAGGGCTTTTTTGTACTTCACAGTTTACTTCTTAATCAAAACCTCTGTATTTTTAGCAGGTTTCTCTGGCTAATAGTACATATCAGTGGACGTCCGACTATTTTCTCTCGCGCGAGTCCACTTAACAATACTCCTCTCCTTGGCATCTCATGTATGGATTTTATTCCGTAAATAATTTACAGTTCCAGCGATAAAATCTTTATTGGATTAATTAATATGAAGTTAGAGTTAAGTTAATAGTATTAATTTATATAGGATTAATAGTATCCAATAGTATAATCGCATTTTCAAGCAATATTATAAAATTGAGGGAGGACCGAAGCTTCTTTTGTATCACCGCACTGGATGTATCACTGGCATAATAAATCCTTTCAGGACACTTCGTGGTTCTTTTTTTGTACGTCTTTATTATATCTTAGAGAATTCTAAGATCCTTTGAAAGTGAAAACTCAATGGACATCTAAGAAAGATCAAAGGAGAATAAACTCCAAGGGACTGCGGAGCTACAATTAACTACAAGAGAGTAATCTTATTGCTATTGCTGTAGTATATGTACTAAATTTGGTGAAAGATGTTTTTAGTGTTTCGCGAGAATGTATTTATGTACGTGAATGCGTGTGTAGTACAAGAGTGTCGACGGCGGAATGGCACAAACCCCATCGACCCTCACATAGAAAAGGTATTGTTTTGTATATGCAGCTGTTGCGTGAAAAAGAGTGATGGAGTAGAAGACTATCTAATATAATACTCCATCATCCTTCCTGAGCGACCGGTATTTAAATAAGATGGCACGTATTTAAGAATGAGTATTAGAGTGAGTGTGTTTAAATGAAAATTGCATGTGTTTGGCTGAAATGACTGTTTTCTTGTCGATAACCCCTTGAGCCTATCTTCGACGGGCAGAATTGTGCCTAAATAAATCAAATTCAAAAATCGTACCAAGAAAGAACGTCCTTGTTATTGTGTTACGAGATTTATTTTTTCTAAAGTTAATTTTAGTGTATTAAATAGAATTAGAACGGTTGAAATTGTCTCAATGTCTATCTCGCGGCGAATCTGTCTTCCATCCATGCCGTACCCGGGTGAAATGAGGGTTCGCCATTCGCCTTTCTTAGCTTTCCGTCGGGCGAAAGGTGCCCAATTCTCATCTGAGCCGGAACGCTATTCACTCTTTCCACCTCTACCTTTTCTCCAAATCCAGTTTTTTGGAAAGCGCCTGTACAGAAATTTTCGAACGTTTCCATCCCAAGGACTCGTGCGCCTGGAAGTCGGCTGCGTCGTCGGACGAGCATCACCCACCGGAGATTTTATCTCTTAGGTGTACGCGTCCGTTCTATGCACGTTTATAAGTGGCGCCCTATCTCCTCACTGGGTAATAGCGGCACTTATAATCATGTTTATTGCCTTCCTGTATGTCAGGAGATCCGTCCGTGATAGCTCGGAAATCCTCCTGGGAGAAAAGTCGATCCCCTATCTCCACACCTATTAGAGGTTCGCTATTTTCTCAATACTACAACTTGCGAAAAAATGTTTAAACAGCTTTATATGGTTGTTGGAGAAATAGGGGTCAAGTTCTCAACTCACCTGCCAAAAAAGTAAATTATTTCTATTACTTTCCAATATGAATTTTTTTCTATCTCGACAGTTGTCTTTTTATGATTTCATACGTCCTCATTATTGAATATTACATAGAGCAAAGGACATAAGTTTTAACGTATCGATATGTACATTTTAATCACTTATTAAAGAAACCTAAACTCAGGTTATAATATAGCCAAATTTAACATGTAACCGTACTTGGGGGTGTTCTTCATCTCTCTGTCTAATGTTATTTATTGGAAAATAAACAAGAACAAAAATTATTTTTTCTAAATATCTATTTTGATAATCAATATTTTGACCTTTCATCACACCGAAGAGTATTTTGTTAGCAGTTTGCTTTAGAACGCATTTACAACCGAAATTCAGTCCGGATTTTAGCCATAATTGACATATTCTTTAATTTAATTTAATTTTTTTACTAACAGTTTGTTGATATATTCATTTACCTCCTGGCAGACCGAATTTTCAATGCATTACGGTACCTATATTTTACAATTATAATTTTATTTTAATAGTTGAGTGTGATTATTTTGTTAGATATGTTAATCAATCACTATTACTTGGTATTTGGTTAACATATATTTTATTATTGATAGTAGAAATATATTTAAAGAATGAAATTCAAAGAGGAATTGCCAGGAAAAGACTTTGTGTTAAGTGGACAACCGCTAGGAAAAATAGTCACACTTCAATGAATATTAGGAAAGGACGAAACCCCCCGAAATTTCGAGACCGTATTAAATAAGGACTTGAAGGACTTGAGTCAAAAGAACCAGAGGGTGTCCTTGCAAGGAAGAGCTTAGTCAGTGATCAATCAGTCTGAAACATTTACCACATCAGCATATTGTAAGAAACAACAGAACTTGACCAAGTTTTTGACTTAATTATGTTTTCATTCCAGTGAAATTTCCATTACGATGGTACCCAATGAAGCATGGGACATCCCTTAATTTTATAATATTGCTTGACAGTGTGATTATAATATTTGTTATTTATGTTAATCAATCATTATTTCAATTCTTACTTTTTAGATTTTATCATTAATACTAGAAATGTATTTTTTTTTTTTAATCAAACGGGACATGCCAAGGAGAGAAGTTGTGTCAATTGGGGTAGTGCGATAAATATAATAAGTCAACAACCGGAAAAGAAGAGTAAAAAATATATAATAATAATTATTATTTAATTTCAACAAAAACCAAAGAAATCAAACTCACACGTTTGTTTTCTTCAGAAGAGACTTGAAACAAAGCTGGCCCTGACTGTAGCCATGTCGCCCACGTGGTCTTTGTTTACCTATAATGGATATTTGTATTTTTAATAGTCATAAAAAGCTTTACAGTGGGGTGTCGGTGGCCGCAACGGTTAAGGCGTTGAGACTGCGCTCATTATTGTAAGTTAAAGATTCTGGGTTCTCGATATATAAATGGTAAAAAAAAAAAAAAAAAAACGACACCCCGAGGGTTCAAATAACTTCGTAGTTGAAATAACCTAGAAAAAAACAAAAACTTTATAGATAACTATTTTTAACGCGCTTACAAAACCTTTAATCAGGCATTGTTTTAACCAAATTTGACATCTAACCGTACTTTGTCTCCATTTCACCAGATTGGTATTTTGATTCCTGTTATTAAATATACAAACAAAAATTAAAATATACTATGAATTATATAAATGTAATTAATAGACCATATTTCCGCAATTATAAATTGATACTGGAGATTTCTCTATTTTATAGAATGAACAAACCGTAAAACCGAACAGAATTTCATATTTGATACAGTATTTTACTGCTTTATATAGGTTCAAATTTGCACATGAACGTACACAAATACGCACGGGTAGTTCAGCCTATCACTTCTCACAATCCAGCACCCAATTCCAGCTTTTGTAATTTACTATAAATTACCGGCAACACCTTGAGTATTGGCAACCCTTGGTCAGATCTCGGTCTGATCCGCCCACTCACCGATACTACAGGGGCTATTAGCAGCTAGGTCATTTCAGCACACTCACTCTTAAATGCATCCATTCATTCAGGATGGTAGAGTAGTCGATATTCCTATATCATCTTTTACACATTATATAACTAACCTAATGGTCGATGGGGTAGTCAGTATTCCGGTCCCTCTCACACTACATATTCACACCAATAAATACATTCATTCTTTAGCACTCATTAGGAATACAAAACCATCAGTACTATGTGCTATAAAACAACCCGGTTTCTTCCAAGATTAGGAAAAGGGGACCTAATAATTTGTCGCCCTGCTTAGCTACCATTCTCATTCTGGTGATATTTATAGCCACCGAACAACCTTTCTCTACATACTGGACACATAAGCAAGTAGTCTATATTTTTGTTATATAGTTTAGAGATTATTAATTAATAGAACTTTTAAATCCACGTTGGTTTAAAAAAAATTGCTTGCTTACGTGTTGGTTTCATAACAGATGTATTAATAGATGAGTGGGCTGTGCTCGCGTTAGGTGGGTGTTTGTGAGCCACATATTTTTCTCATTATATTTTATGTGTTTTTTCTCTTATATGAATAGAAATATTTCTAACGATTTTTTTTCTTCGAAAACTTGAGATTATCGCAGTTGAAACTGCATCGATCTGACAGATTATGGTTGTTTCAAAGCAGTTTGCGGGATTAACTTAAAGTCGTAATCATAATATTGACAAAAATATGAGAAAAAGTTCAATATTTCGTTTTATGGACTCTTTTATAAAGTTCTTCAATTGGATTAAAATTAAACATTATAATACGGTATAAATTTGGGTCTACCAAAAGAGTTTTCGACATTATTTTCTCTTTTTATTTATATTACAATAACGTGTTGTTTTTTCATTTTTGGGATTACGAAAAACTCATACGAGATAACATTTTACGCAACTGTCAATTTGTAATATTTAAACTAGTGGAGGACAGTTGGCCCATTGCACAATCGCACTATGACTAATTGTACAAAAAGATATTTAGTTATTTCCAATTAACTCCCGCCTTGCCTTTCAATTATGCGAGATGCCATTGATTAATTACTTTTCGAAGGTGATGTTGTGAAAGGGGAAGTTTTATTAATACGTCATTCAACGCTGCTTCGCCGATATGCTTCAATGATATCGTAAAAACGATTTTTCTCTTTCTTCATTGCTGTCTTTTTCATATTTATTTATTTATTTCTAACTACTAGTTATATAGCATATCTTGTTTTTTATACAGAAGATAAAATAACTTGATATATCATAAAATAGTGACTAGCAAGATTGTTATCAAGATTTTGAAAAAAAAAAAAAGTAAGGGCGAGGGAAATTGTGATGATAGTTAAAATTGTAAGTTGTAACGCGTAGGGTTAGTAATTGCTCTTTACAATTTCATCATAGAAAATGGAATCTAGTCATTTAAGATAATTGTAGTAAATATCTATTGTAGTAATTTAAAGCAGCCGGTTAGTATAAAAAAATTACTTAGGGATGTGTAATCTTAGGTAGTGAAGGTCTGTTTTGCAATCTGACACGCAGGATGTTGCGATGAACGGTTTCAATGTTATCATGTTTAAAATTGGTTTCCGGTCCGACTGTTTCCAAGGATACCTATGAAATATTTGGTCACGTATTCACCATATGGTTTGGACAGTCGTAAATATCCTCGGAAAAAATAAATTCGAAAAAAGATGCTTGTTTTATTTACACGTGGTTCGTTTTCTCTCCGTTCTTGAGGTTAATTTGGAAGTTTACGACGCCGTAAAACACGGGACCGGAGATAAATCTGACCGAGCCGCTTTTGGTCAGAGGCGATTCCGTGAAAGGGCGTTGGTCACGGTGTGTCCTATCCGCGGACCACGCTACCGCACCCCGAACGCACGTCTCTGCGGGCAGGGGAAAAAAGTTTTCGCAGGCCCGGAGGATATTTCGGCTCAAAACAGACGTGATCGGGTTGGGCAATCCGTGTGCTAAAGACTTGATGCTTTTATAACAGCGTCACGTGTCTCGAATTAAAGGACTTTCCAAGCAGGGACGGTTTCCAGTGTGAGGGAGATACGTGCTGGCCGGGTGGAGCAGGGTTGCACAAGCGTTGCACAAGGGAACATCTTCTCCTGGGAAAGTGCGACCTGACATTTGCCCTCATCAGACCCTAAACACAGGCCGGGTGTCGACACGTCCAGTTGCAAAACCGTCGAATTTGGGTCCGGATGGTGGTTTTCACAGTTTACTTCCAAGCGCGCAATTAGGGAGGAACCGGTGCCGCGGAGCGTGCGAGAAAGCAACAAAGAACCAAGGCAAAAACGTAGATAAGGAGATTATCACATCTACACTTTTCCCTTTGCTTTTTTGTTTGCCTTTTTTTTTGTTCAAAGCGCTTCGGATCGTGTATCACTGGATACAAAACACGGCTACGGACTGTAAACCACATTCATCTCCTTATCCTTTATATTCTTTGTACAGTGATGCAAAGTCCGCACTTTCCTAACTTCAAAAATTGTGGAACGATTTCGCCTATTCATGTGTCAGATGTTTCAAGAAAAGGCGAATTTGACTCCATAACAGAAAAAAGTCGATCATCGATTAGTTAAAATGACAGTTCTTTTACTCCATGACCAAGAACAATGTCATTGACTAGTTTTTATCACCATCTTCTCGTTTTAACTAAGAATTTAAAGGTTTATTTAGAAAAGGTCAAAAATTGCTCACCTCTGGCCGAAGTCCAGACACCTTTTGACCTCGACATCGGTACTTCGAGCTTCGTCAGTAACTGTTAGCGTACACAAATAATGTTAGTAGCACACCAACCGGACACGTCCCTTTTCAAAATGGCCCACCATGACCACATTTTCCACACTTGCTTTCAACTTTGTTAGTGTTGTGTTCTATCAGAAATCAAGGATAGTTTTAATCAACTGCGGATAAGTCAAGATCTTGATATACCACATCCAACAAGTTTTTATTTTTCTGCTTCTCCAAAAAATAATCTTTTCGAAAAATATGTTTATCCTGTCTGTAGTATTTTCTCTTTTTTATCTTCATAAATTTTATCTACATGTAGCTTGATTGTTTCTTATCAACTTTGCTCCGCCTGTCGTCGCTGCTTCGGTTTTATCTTTTTACCGTGTGAGTTTATCATTAAGTAGCAAATCAGCTGGATAAAGAAATTTTTTTTAAGTCTTAGGTGAAATGTTATTTTTTCTACAGACACCATACAAATAATATTATGTGTATTATAACCATTTACCTTTATCCTGAACATCCTGATCCTCTATGTGGGTTTAGGTTTGAAGAGGTTTGCTTAAAACTTAATTGCAACCTGTCCTACAGACCAAAGCAGCGGTAATTAGGTTATCACGTTGATCGAGAGTGGGCAATATGCAATTTACATTCATATTGGTTTTTATTGAAAGTAGAAAAAGTGTTTTTAACGTTCTAGGGTCCAAACCCATTTATATTTCCACCAAACCCATAGACCAAACTAGCGGGGATTGGCGGACTAAGATGGTCAGATATGAACAAACAGCAGGCACCTCACTTATACCACATCTTACATTTTATAAATACATTTTTCTGTAGTTAAGCTAATAAAAAGACGCTATTGAAAAATAACATACACGCCAACCTCTCAAAATGTTGATATGGTGAAATCCATCCGACAGATTGAACTAGCGAGGATAAGCGGAGCAATATGGTCAGATAGAAACAAACAACGGTACTTCACATATGCATATCTTACATTTCATAAATACATGTTTCTGTAGTTACGCCAATAAAAAGACTCTTGAAAAATAACATTCGTACCAACATCTGAAAATGATGATATGGTGAAATCCATCTGACAGATGGACCTGGAAGGCGAAATAGGAACAAACTGCATTCACCACCTATGGAGGTTATCCCATTCCTTGCAATTCAGTAGTACATTTTTCGCAGGTTAAGCTTATAAAAAGACTCTGTTGACGAAGTAACATACAGACCAACCTTTGAAGAAGATATGACGAAACGCGTTTGAGAGACCAAAATAGCGTGGATAGGTGGACCTGGATGACAAAACACTAATTCAGACATTTCCCATATATCTAAAATGCCTTGCATTTCTATAGTACTTTACCGTGATTAAGCTTATAAAAATACACGATTGACGAAATAACACACAGCTCAAATTCTGTTGATAAAGAAATGAAACGCGCTTGGTTGATAGACCAAAATAACGAGGATAGGCGGAGCAGGATTTCTTATACCAGGAAACTCTGGCATTTTGAATATGTGTACGCACAAAATCCCCAATTTCAAATAGTTCATTTCCTGAATGGTTAAGCGTATAAAAAGACACGTTTGACATAAAATAACACACAGCGAGGAGAGGTGGAGATGCATCACCTCTCAAGTAGAAATCTCACGATATTTTTACTAGTTTAAGTACAACAAAGTCAACTGCAAGATATTGGGTGATACAGTTGTTGTTGTAAGGTTTTTCTGTTTGACCTGTGTTAATGTCACTGTTTTGAGGTTTTAAAAACAAGTTTATGATGGGGAGAAAAATGCCTTTTGTTTGAAATGAATGCCAAATCAGCTTGATTTTCGCGCGATACAGAAAAGTAACCTTGATTACCACGTTGTTATATGATGTAATGCGTACATCTGCATCATCACTAAAAGTGTTATTATAACGCGCTATTTGTGGCAGTAGCGAACGTCCGACAAGATCATCGATATATAATTCTGCCCGACCATAAAACGGCAGATTACGTAAGAAACTAGGTATTGATGAGAACGTGATTAATCTTTTAAGTAGACTTGAACACCTTGTTAAACTTGAAGCTATATTTTTCATTATGAGTCTTGCCAAGTAAACTGATAAGAGGAATCGCGGCAGAGTCGATTCGTCCCAATCGGAATTCGAATTATGGAAAAATGCGAAATCCGTAGCCTCCCCTTTCTCACCGGAGATCCTACGTCGACGGATAAAAGGCGCTCCGGGCCGCCTCCTTTAATCTGTTTATTGGCTGGTAATCCTCCCCCAGATGATCAGTGATAACGGCTTACTACTCGAACGAGGAAGTTGTGCCCGGCGGATGTTTTCAGGCAGAGGTTTATCCACCGTGTTAATAAGCATCTTGTATTCTGGCTGGGGTTTCGTGAGGGAATGTGGACCCGGCACCCAGCCCTGTAAATCATCCCTCCTCGGACGACCGTCAAATTTGAATTTCGACGCTACCTCGGTGACGAATCGGTTTTCCGGTCTTGGGTTAATTAAACTTTTCTTTTATACTTTAAAAACAAATAATTGAATTTTTCGTATCCGCTACCGACTTAGCGCGTTGAATTGATGGTAAATTATAATGACAGACGGATGAAACGGTGAATAAATTCTCGCCGTTTTTATCATTGCGATTTTTTTCTCATGGGGGTTGCTGTAATGAGCCTGTACTTTCGATGTTTCCGATGAATTTAATCCTATTTAGATTAGACTCTTTTCATTTAGAAGGTGTATAGCCTCACCCTGCTTATTAGCTTCTCACATCTGATGATGGTGCAAAGCCTAATCTCTCCTGACCAAAACAGAGATATAAAAGAACCAAAAGGTTCGAATACGACCAAACTACAACTTCGTGACTCCGCAGGCCTCAAGAGGAAATCTCACAAATTTATCGTATGGAAAATCGCAAAAACGAACGGACTTGAAAAGTCACTTAGATCTTCAATTAAGGTTCAATTGGTGTTGCAACGATTGTACCTAAGTTAAATGTATTATTACTATCTAGTACGAATATACGTGAACGAACTTTAGTGATTTGCCTGCTGATTGTGCTAACATGTTTAGCAAGGTTATTCGGGGTTAATTGGTTTTGTGACTTTCGTTCGTTGTTAAACAATTAATTAATTTATTGCATATATACGTATAATTAAAATCGCCTTTATGGAAATTGTTCAATGGAATTGAATTTTATCCTGCCTCGACCAATTTGTAGATCTGTTCTTTCTCATTCCATTTGTCAACATCATTATTGCCAACAAATACGTGGTAGGTAAACCTAAGTTTAGTGTTAAAAGGGTTTAGTCATTAGCTGGCACACTGTTTTACACACCCAAGAGATTCGAGTGACTCTTACTTCCAAAATAGAAATTTTGCTCCACATAACGCTTAACAGAATTAGTTTCAGTATATGTAATTAAGACATCTCTTGTTAACTATGCACATCCAGATGTATTGATCGGCCATGTGACCAGATGTCAATTCTCAAACTGCATCTTGATCCATTTAGTTTTTCCTGATCACCTATTCTCTGTGACTCCGTACATACTGTAGTTTAGTCGTTTTGGGTCTGGCTATTTTCATTGTTTTGGACTGATGCTGAGCCTTTTCTTTATTTTTGGTGTGTGTTTATCAAGAAGTGATTTATAAAACCAAAATGACGGAACGTTTAGTTTACATCTCCACCGCGCAGACCTAAAGGAGAGATCTCATGATACTCGGATTGCTCTAAGAAAAGAATCTGCATGGCATGTCGGTAAAGAATCCAAAAGTAAGAAAGATACGATATCCATCGTCTTCTCTGCTAAATCAACAATGGGAAGCTATGCAGAGAGACAAAAATCGGCCCATCAAATTTTTCCTAATATCATCTCGTTGCGGGTTGTTCTCGAAGAGTTGAAATCACTTTATGGTAATACCTCTACTAGAAAAGTTCATATTGGATGTACATTAACCTGAAAGTCGTTAATTTTTCACGTGGAAATAAAATAAAAAATCATTTTTACAGCCGTTTAAAACTTTTCGAGGGGAATGTTCCCATCCGTCATTTCCCACGAGATTTTCTTATAGTCTTTGCAAAAAAGTCAACTTCGTGATACTAATCGATGCGTAATCCCGTTACTGTGTTTAAAATAATCTCAAGGTTAGCTTGGAAAGCTTGATTATCCCGGATCTCTTCATTTCAGTCTTAAGGTCTTTTCAGTGTTAATTATCGAAAAAGAGGAAATTTAACAAAAATAGAACCTTACAATTGGTCAGAACTAACAATTATTGTACTATTTACATTACTTGAGTCTAAAGTCGCAATTGGGACGGTACTAAGTGTAAATCCCACGATTCGCACGTTACTGAACGCACTCAACCCACACAGTGTCTTTCTATAAATAGTACAATCCGCGAGCTCAGCTAGTAACAGTGTACATAACAGAGTTTTTACGAAATGGTAATTATACCGATAATGGGCCGATTTGACATATATCGTGACGGTTTGATCGTAATTGATCATTTCTGCTCGATCTTTTAGCAATGTCGGACGACGGTGAGACGTGTTCCGACATTGACGCCGTGTCCGTCTCACCATTGCTATCTTATTCCGTTAAAAGGGACCCCACGAGGAAAACTTTCCAGAAGATTCGTTCAAGTTCAAAAAGGCATCACATCAAGGACAGGGATGGCGTGAGTTTCAAGGCTTGTAATTCAACCGAGAGGAACGGATTTCGCAATAAATATGTTCGCTTCTCGTCTCTATCAGAGATCCGAGTAATTCATAGGTCTCTTGTGAGATTTGCGAGGTCTCCGGGCCGTCTCGTCTTCGCTTCCTGCCTGACCTGAAACCGACCTGGCGTGAGAAGATGAGAAATGACAATACGTAACGACGTTGCCCAATCGCAATTACGTGTACCTTCCCTCAAAACTGCTAACAAATACTGAATTTAGGCGTAACAGAGCTGATATATGTTTCTTTTACTTCATTTATTTGTACATATGTTATGTACATATGTTTTATTTTACTCATTTTATTGTACGTGTGTTATGTAGAATCAGCACATTGAATAATTTATGTTTATGGTATTACCGGCGTTATAGAGAAAGCTATCCATTGGCAGCCACACTGGATGAATAAAATAATATTAATCATTTAATAGGTCTCTTATCAGATCGTATTTTAGTGTGTTAGTGTGATTTTGTAATTTACTATGAAAATGTCAGTAATATATTGTTATGGATGAAAAAATTGTTGGCATGTGAAGATCTCTGTGAAGTATGTTTAAGTGAAAGGGGCAGAAATAATTAGTCTTAAAAATTTTTAATCTCTGAATATTGGAATATTTGGCCGATCCAACAGCTTGGCACTCGTACATCCAAATAGATTTGAGTAGCTATGTGTGGAAT